AGCCCCTCATTATTTTTCTTAAAAAAAGTATAAATATAGTTGGCATATAAATATATTCACATGTAGAAGAGGTTAAAACTGCAAAATGACGTATGAAAATTCTGTCAAAAGAATATAACATACTTCACTTTGTGTGTGATTTTGAGGTGAACTTAGGTTTAAACATTAGCTCTGTAATATGGATGAGTACAATTGTCATGTCTGGTCCTGTCGACACCAATTTCTGATCAATGGAAATTTCTACATATAATAGCTCAACGAGCATCATGTAGGTTGATGTAACTCATATTTTCTATGTGGATTAGTCAATGTGTTGACATGCTTACAATATGACAACTCTAGCATCATCTACCTTCCTTCTGTTTTCACCTCTCGGAAGTGTTTGTTATTAATGCTTCTCCACATATGTTACATCAATTTCTTCCATATCTCGCTGTTTTATTGATTTTGGTTTGTATGTTTATCGTTATGGCGAATCATGCACTTACATCCCATTATCACTTAGGCAGCATCTCCAATGGAGGCCACTTCAGCTCAAAATTTCCAGCCTCGGGCCCTTTCCATCAAGCTGTGGCCCCCAAGCGAGAGTACTAGGCAGAAGCTTGTGGAGCGAATGACCAAGAACCTCTCCACTGAATCCATCTTTTCTCGAAAATATGGCCTACTGACCCCTGAAGAAGCCAATCAGAATGCAAAACGAATCGAAGATACTTGCTTTGCTGCTGCCAATGAGCACTTTGAGAGGGAGCCTGATGGCGATGGAAGCTCAGCAGTACAACTCTACGCCAAAGAAACTAGCAAGCTTATGCTTGAAGTTCTCAAGAAAGGTCCAAAACCTAAAGAAGATAAAGAGTTGTTTCCTGCAGTTGTTGAACCCAAAAAGGCAAAGGCAGTGGTTTTTGATATTTCTGGTGGTCGTCGAGCTTTTATTGAAGCCGAGGAGACTCAGCAGCTTTTAAACCCACTTACTGAAGAAGGGAACTCGTATACAAAAATTATCTTCAGCAATAGAAGCTTTGGCATTGAAGCAGCTAGAGTGGCTGAGCCAATCCTTTCTTCTCTAAAAGGCCAACTTACAGAGGTCGATGTTTCTGACTTCGTTGCTGGTAGGTCAGAGGATGAAGCTCTAGAAGTGATGAGAATATTCTCATCGGCCTTGGAAGGGTCTGGATTAAAATATCTGAATCTTTCCGATAATGCTTTGGGTGAGAAAGGAGTGAGAGCATTTGGGTCACTGCTAAAATCTCAAAGTAGCTTAGAGGAGCTGTACTTAATGAATGATGGGATATCAGAGGAAGCTGCAAAGGCTTTGACTGAACTCATTCCATCGACCGACAAGGTTAAGGTACTCCATTTTCATAATAATATGACTGGTGATGAGGGTGCTCCCTCAATTGCCAAGATTTTGAAGGGATCACCGTCATTGGAGGATTTCCGATGTTCATCTACAAGAGTTGGATCTGAGGGAGGCATTGCTATTGCCGAGGCTTTGGAGGGTTGTGATCGCATAAAGAAGCTAGATTTAAGGGATAATATTTTCGGTGTGGAAGCTGGGATAGCTCTAAGTAAAACTTTACAAAAGCTCAATGGTTTAGTTGAGCTTTACCTCAGTTATTTGAACTTAGAAGATGAGGGGTCAATTGCAATCTCGGATACCCTGAAGAAACATTTGCCTGTTCTTGAAGTCTTGGATATGTGTGGAAATGATATCACTGTCAAAGGCGCTGCTTCATTGGCTTCTTGTGTTGCATCTAAGCAGTCCTTGAAAAAGTTGAACTTATCAGAGAATGAGCTGAAGGATGAGGGAGCAGTTGAGATTGCCAAAGCTTTGGAGGGACATAACAATGTTAAAGAAGTGGATTTGAGTACTAACATGATAAGGAGAGTAGGAGCTAGGAGCTTGGCTCGAGCGGTGGCTAATATTCCTGAATTTGTGATGTTGAATATTAATGGTAATTTCATTTCAGATGAAGGAATCGATGAGGTTAAGGAAATACTAAAGGAGGGAGTGCTTGGACCGTTGGATGAAAATGATGTCGAAGGCGAGGAAGAAGAGGAGGAAGAGGAAGCAGAAGAAGAGGAAGAGGTGGAGACGAAGCTTCAGGATCTTAAAGTTGACGAATAAGTAGGCTTCAGTTTTTAGCGTGTACTATGAACTAGTATTAGAACTTTAATTTTCTCTTGACAGGCCACACATATTCTAGGCTTTGTCATGAATTAGCCTAATGTTTTGTGGATTAAAGAGCATTTTGATGCTTAAGTACTGGTCGTTGTAGTTTTTTACGTGTTTGTTGGTAGTTCAGTCTTAGAGGCATGTTTCTTGGTAATGTGCCCTGAGGGGTAATTTGACCTTTTTAGCATGTTTTAAGTTGGCTGGCTTCTTTGTTTAGAGATCTTGCTTAATAATTTGTTGCTCCTGAAGGTAAGATGTACTAGGAATGTGAGGATGATGCCTTGTGTACCTACCTACTTGCGACTTTTCGTTTTTTCCTTTTTTTTAATCACGCTGATCTCCTGCTTGATTGATTGCTACACTGTTGCTTCACGTTTTCAGATAACTTGAGAAAGGGACAACAATGGCCATGAACGCTCAGAAAAAGAAAGAACTATATCTCGAACTTCTTTTTAAGATAAAAGGTATATAGTTCGCATCTTCTCATTTTATTGACATACTTGCACAAGAAATGTTATATCTATGTTTGGAAGTTTACTAATAAGGGAAGGAAAGGAAAGGTATGATAGGGAAAGGAAATGTAGAGAAGGGAGGGGAAAATATAATACCTTGTTCGGGAGTTTTATAAGGGGAGCGAATGTGAACTTAAATTATGTTGTTTGGGAGTTCTAATTAGAGGAAGGGAAGAAAAATAAATGAATCTTAGCCGTTAATTCGTTATGACATAGGGTCAAGATGTCTCTTGTACTAATATCTTTCACTTCTCTTTCCTTACCGTTTTTTACCCTCCAATTTGAGGGTGAAAAAATCATAAAAATTTTATGAAAATTTCCTCTTCCTTTCCCCTCTTTACCCTCCTAACAAAACTCCCAAACAAAGTTGAACTTAATATTTTCTTCCCTTTCCCTTCTTTACCCCTCATCCAAGCACAGGTAAGCGAATAAATAGGGTACGGTAGTAATTAATTTAATGGAGAAACCTTAATTGTTCACAAGTATGTTGAAGGTTAAGAAAATATAAATTGGAATCTTAAATATTGATAAAATCTAATTCCCTTTTTTTTTCAAAATAAAATTTATTGCGAGGCTATTTCATTTTTAACTCACAGTCAGATGTGCGTGAGTAACTTTTTCGTACGTCCCTATCTCCCCTTCCATTTGTCCCTACACCCTCAGCCATCAAAATCGCCACCTCTCTCTTAAAAGGCCGGTCAAAGCGAAATTTCTACCGAAAGCGCCCAGCTCCTTACCCCCACCCCCACCCCCACCCCCACAACATTTCCACTCATTTATACATCATTGTTTTGCAATATTTGCTTATATATCCCCAAATCACTCAAACTTGTAAATGAACCACTAAAATCTAGGTATTTGCCAGTTTATCCACTATGACGACATTGATTTGAAGTACTCCAAAGTTATACCAAGGAATCTTAAATGCTCCTAATTTTCTATTATTTAACTGAAATTTCCCCTTTCCACTCCAAAATGTGTAGAATTGAGGGTATTGCAATAACAAGTACTTATTTAGATTTTGGGTTTTAAGGATATTAGTCCCTTAAATCTTATATCCTGAAATTGTCCCTTAAATAAATGAATTTACTATTGGGTCCCTAAACTTTTAAGTTATTGTGAATTAATCCCTCATATTATTGAAATGGGAAAAATGTTTCAAGCCCCCCAAAAAAAGATCCAGATGTGGCCCAGCCCCACCATCTTTTTCCCTTAGCATTTAGCCCCAAAAAAGTGTGAAAAGTGTGGTCTAGTCCCAAAAGCCCATTTGTATACATGTACCCGATGTATTTTGACCAACCTACCTAAAATGCCCACGTCTCTCACCCAAGAACTCTTCCTCTTAACCCATGGAGCTGGTGATCTACCATCACAATCATCTGGCATCTAGTGGGTCCTCCTTTGCTATGTGCCCCTCCGTGAGCTCCACACCGCTCTCGTCTCCTTTTGGGGCCGCCCCCTCCGCCTCGGCCTCCTCCCCACCCTCCTCGTCGTCCCCTTCGCCCTCCTCCGCTCCGTCGCCGCCTCCCTCCTCGAGTCTCGCCCGCGACCTTGTTGCTTGTTGGACTTGGATCCCAACGCTTCGCCAGTTCACCAAGCAAGCCCTCGACCTCTCGACGCTGATCCCAAGCTCTCCAACGACCGCCCCGACCAAATCCTCACCATCGCCGACGTCCTCCTCGCCACGCCTCCCAGAGCAAGCCCTCGACCGCTCGAGCCTCGACGCCGATCCCTAGCTCTCCACTCAAGGATTAGAATGAGAGAGAGGAGAAAGAAAATGGGCAATTGCGGCACGAGAGAGGACTCTGTTGTAGCTGTTGTTCATGCTCAAGGTTCTTCCCTTTTTCAAAAATTTTCCTATTTTTTAGTCAAATTTCCTGCAGATCTAGGTTTCTGGAGATGGGTTTCTCTTCTTTTCTCAATTTGGTCCCTTCTATAATTTTAATTGGTATGTTATGTTCCCAATTTTAACTCTCCATTGTCTCATTGCTCGTCTGTTTTAAAGGTGGAAATTTGTGGTTTCTATGCAAAAAATTCAAGACATCCAGTGAGTTTAGTGTTCAATAGAAACAAAGCCAGTGGTTGCAAATTGATTATTTTGATTTCACTTCCAAAATTTTGCAGTTCAATAGCTCTACATGTTCCATGTTAGTGTAAAGAGCACCCCTTCAGAGAATCTAGTGGGTTTAATTTTTTTAGTTGTGTATTTTGGATACTTGAATGAATTTTATGTGGAATTTGGGATCTTATTGATACTTTGTAGTTTTTTATGGCTTTTGTCAAGGTTCATAACAGGGATAGGGATTCAAGTTGGCCAAATTAGGTTGTCTCTGTTTTATCCTGGCATTTTAATTATTTTTTTCTCCCTTTATTTGGTGATGACACCTTTTTTATGCAATATGCTCATTTGAGTAAAATTCACACATTAGAATGAAGTCTGTGTTTTATCGCACAAATTGTTTGGGTTAATAGACTTAATGGTTTGTAAGTTTGATTAAATGCATATGCATTTATATATCCTTGTTTTGAGGGAAGCATGATATATATATCCTTGTAAAAGGTGTTTTTCTTTGCCTGTTACAGTTTGTGAACTACTTTAGAAACGCTGACATTGAACATATATACAGGTCATGAACTATTTATGTGAAACACAACATAGTTTAGATGACTTATATTTTCTTATTTGATGCTCTTCATAGAGCTTGTAGGTTCTTTTTTTTTGTTAGAAACATTACGAGGAGTTACAAGGAGTTGTGTGCGAGCATTAATGTTAATATGAATGCAATGCAAATTTTCAAGATCAAATATTTGTTTGAGTTTTTGGTTAGGAGGTTGAGGAGGTTGGGGGACGAGGAGGGGGCGAAGATGGTCGAGAGGGATTATGAGGAGTGGGATGTCCATAGGAAGTGGGGGGAGGTTGAGGAGGGGGAGGAGGAGATAGGGGTTGTAGGTGTTTGATGAAATGGCCAAGTAACTCGGTTTTTTCATTTGTTTTTTTCCCCAGGAGTTGGACACGATATTGCATTCTGCGCCGCCACCAGAACCAAAGTATCAGCTGCGAAGATCAAACTCAGCTTCTTTCTAAAGAATGCATGTATACTAAATTGCGTAGATTTGTATGGAGATTGGAGTGGTTTTTGTAAGATATTTGTATAAGAAAACATGTCTGAACTTGTGAGAACTTATGATATGTTAGCTATTTTATGTGGTTGTACTCGAAACTGAGTAGGAGAATGACCAACTTGTGAGAACTTATGATATGTTAGCTATTTTATGTGGTTGTACTCGAAACTGAGTAGGAGAATGACCCATAATTGTGGGCTTGAACGATTTACATATGTTTAACTTTCTTCATAATATGTTAACTTTGTTCGTAACATGTTAACTTTCTTCATAATATGTTAACTTTCTTCGTAATATGTTAACTTTCATAATAATATGTTAACTTTTTTCGTAACGTGTTAACTTTCAGCTGAACATGTTAACTTCCGTCATAATATGTTAACATTCACTATTACATGTTAACTTTCACCATAATATGTTAACTTTCTTTGTAACAATATTAACTTTCAGTTGAACATGTTAATTTTTATCATAATATGTTAACGTTCACCATAATAAAATTATTATATTCCTACAGCTGATATTGCTTGAATACACGATATGATTAGACTTACAATCTTAGAACTATCGGCTTTCAAATTCTGTAGACTTTATAGTGAAGATGTTAACTTTCAGCTGAATATATTAAATTTAAGCTAAAAATATTGCCTTTAACATAAACATTTTTAACTTTCACGTGAGCATGTTTATCTTCAACATCATGGCCCAAGAAGTATATACCTTTTCGATGAAGTTATAAACTGTTTTAAGGGACAGGAAAGAAGTGTATATTTTATCTGCATATGTTAACTTTATTTACAGGACATATCATCTTTATTTACAGGACACGATAAAAGGCACATTAGTGAAAACCCAAATTGGTTGTGTATATTTTATCAATTGGCACTCGAGCAAAAAATAATAATAAATCCAAGATTACTTACATGAGGATTTTCATAAGTCATAAAAGTGTAAGACTCACACTCTAAACCTCATGTTAACTTTCAGGTGTATATGCTAACGTTCAGGTTTATATGCTAACGTTCGTGTGAACATGTTAACTATTAGTTGTATAAGTTAACTTTCATCTGCATATGTTAACTTTCTTATGAATATGTTAACTTTCAGCATAATATGTTAACTTTTACTATTACATATCGGTCTTCTTTATAACATGATAACATGCAACTGAATATGTTAACTTATCAAATGTACATGTCCAGTATTGGCTTTTACTGTTGACATTCAAGTAAACTTGTAGCTTTTCATTTGAACTTGTTAAATATATGTTGTATCAAAATAAAACGTAAACATATGGTGGCAAAAATACCAGAAAATACAATAAGAACAATAAAGGTCAAGCTTTATTTGTGATGTTAATGTTTGTGTTGCAATGTGGACAGCAAGCTAAAGAGATACCAAACATGAAGTTTATTTATCACAGAAACTGTCATTTCCTTGCTACATCTGGACAAGTTCTTTAGCATCCTTGTTCTTCCATGTTACATGCCGATGAGTCGTATTAATTGTACAGTGACTCAAATAACCAAATATGAAATTGTAAAATACGAGTCCTTCAAAATCAAGTCTTGCTTTCTTGTTGATGTTATTATATCTTAGGATACACCAACATTTTGCACTTCTCAATCAATCGACATATTCATAATCGGAAGAAGGTAAGAAGTGGGTCTATTTGTATGTAATTGAACTAACTTCAGGTAAGGTAAGAAGTGAGTCTATTTGTAGTCATCTTCCGACACAAAGATGGATACTGAACAACCTATTTGCTTTATAGATGACAAAAATCTAACAACCCTAATTCCTCACGAATTGAGGGGGCCTAAGTGCTAATAAATGAGTTAAACCATTAAGGGGTCCATTAGGGGGTGGTTTTGTGCAACTGTAGGCACAAATAAAGGAGGTTATGTGCATTATTGTGCAATTTACCCTTATTAATAACTAACAAAACTCATATGCGAAGTACATTAAATTTCAGACTCAGAAAATGGAACTATGTTACATGCACAAAACTAGTATCATTCTTCAAAATTCAGGTCAATTATAAGGAATAGGTCCTCTCTTTTTACACATTGTTACTAGCGTGCAAGCTTAGTGCGAAGAGTCAGATCAAAACACATTTGAAGATAATACATGCATCTAAATGAATCAGATTTAAAATTTTCCAGCAAGTAGAAGGCAATATAGTCAATAATATTGACACATACTGCACATTAATGCTTCGAAGGGTAAGCCATAATCTAGTCACCTAGGAACAAAGTGCCAGTACGAGGGAACAAACATCAGTGAGAGATGACATTAAACAACAAACTAATTCAATGAAAGAAAAGTCATTTTCTGTAAGCTAAAATTATATTTGCATGATGAAATCTGATTTCTGCTACTTCAATATGACATGATTCTCGAGTTATAATCTAAAACAAACAAAACAAGCAACAAACAAAATCCTCAAGTTAGTCTATTGCACCTATAATGATTAGAAAATTGTACCTCCTAATAGGAAGTCCTCCAAGGAGCTTGTATCGGAGAGATTCAGCCTGAGCAATAGCACATAGACCCCTGTTGTTAACCTTCTCCGCATAGAGTTCAACTGGGTAAGTTATAATCAGACTATTCTTTTTTTGTTGCAATGCTTAAGATTGACCATCATTTTCATTTCTCAAACTGAAAATATTAACCAAAATAAACATATCTTAATCCAGAACACCATCAGCGCACCCGTTCACCGACAGTGGCAAGAAGAGGAGCTTCCTCCTCACACGTTCACCGACGGTGGCGGTTTCTTCTCGTCGCCGCCTCCGTCCAATTTCACTGAGGTTTGAGCCTGAGAAGAGAGGAAAGAAAGAGAGGAGGGACGGGCAGTTTTTGGGTAATGAGTTAAGGGTAATTTTGGAATTTGAAAATTTTTTCTCACTGTGGTGTGTTGGAAAGGTAAAAGGGACTGAAACACAAGTATTTTATGTATTGAGGGCTTTGTCACCCAAAAATAATACGAGGGGCCTAGTCACAACAGATTTTTTATTTTAGGGCCTTAAAACATTTTTCCCTATTGAAATTGCTATTAGAATGCTCAATTCTATAGTTATTTTTGAAATTAGTCCCTTAAATCAAGAGTAGAAGTAAAAATTAGAGGGAGTAGTTTGCAACAACTTATAAGAGTTAGTAAATCTAATAGTGATTTCTGTGATTAGGGGAACTAATTTTCTCTTATTGTCACTTCCACTTTTGATTTTAGAGAGTAATCCAATGGTAACTTAACAATTGAGAAACCTAATATCAATTTTAATAATCTGCATTAGTTTGCAAATAATAAATATTTTAGGGATCTTACAAAAATTTCAATGATCTAAGGGACTGACTCAAAATATGAAAGATTTAAGGAACTGCTGCCGAAAAACCGCATAGATTTTTGAATACACCTGCAAATATGTTTGATATGAGGGGTATATAGGTAAAAAAGGCCTATTTATTTTTCACCGAAACCCCTTTTTCCTCCTCTCAATCACATTTCAAAACCAGAAACCGAAGCAGCAAGCAAAGGAGAGAGGATCATCATCTCATTTTTATTCATTTTAATTCATCAAAATAATCGAAAAAAATAATTAAATAAAATAAAAAGGTGGCGGAGCATTCGAGACGAAGTTGATGACGAGTTCCACCATCAGATGTCGCCGTCTATGGTAGATGTCCGTACGCCGGCGGCGGCGACTCGATACACTAGAGATCAAGGTCAGATCTTTACTCCTTTCGATCAGAACCCTAACCCTAACCCTTTTAAATTTATGGATCAATCCAACTCCTTTGGTAAGCCCTCGCTCTCAAAGCCTCGGTTTGCTAAGGTGAGGAAGAACGCCGCCGCTCACCGGAGACCGGCGTCGGCGGCGGCGTCGACGATTCAAGATCCCTGTTCTTCGGGGTTCAATCCGTTTAGGTCGGATAAGATTGAGGAGAAGATCAGTAAGTGGGACCCGTTCGTTTCTGAATCGGGGGCTAGGGTTTCGGAGAGTATGAATGCTAATGGCAGTGCATTTGGTGTTAGGGGCACGAGTTTTGTGCTTGGGAGTGGTGACCCTAAATTGAGCAGGAACTCGAGCAGCCGAAGCATGGGGAGCTTTGATTCTTTGAAGTCCGAAACGTTTCAGTTTGTTTCGGGTTCGAAGCCTGTGGAGGTTGGGCAAGGGTTTGTGTTTGGTGATGGTGCAAAAAAGAGTAATGATCTGAGTCAGGGTTCATCGCTTGGGTCTGACGAGGGCTTGGTGTTTTCCAAGCCCCCAGAGGAGGAGATGAGAAAGCTGAACTTGAAGAATCCAGGCGATGGAGGTGATTTTGAGAAGAAGAAACAGTCTGAAAATGCATTTGTGTTTGGAGCTGGCAGTGTAAAGGCTAGCATGCAGAAGGAGAAAACAGAGGCAAGTACAAATTTTGATGCTGGTGGTTGTGTATTCGGGAGGGGAGTAACTAAGAGTGCTGATATGAGTCGGAATTCATCCTTTAATTCTGATGAGGGATTATTCTCTCAGCTTCCTGAAGAGATGAGGAATCTAAGGTTGAAGGGTTCCGGTAATATAGATGATTTTGGGAAGAAAAAGGAAGCTGGAAATACTTTTAGTTTTGGGGATACCCAGTTCTCTGTATCAGGTTCACAACCAATAAATGTAGGGATGGAGAAACCAACGTCACATTCATTTGTCTTTGGTAGCAAGGGAAGTGGGAACTGTGATGCTGGTACTTTTGCCATGGGTTCCGACAAGGATTCATTCTCTGAGCTTCCTAATGAGATGAGGAAGCTGAATTTGAAGAATAAGAACATGGATGATGTTAAGAGGAATGAGCAAGCTGAAAATTTTGTTTTTCATGATAACAAAACGGGGCAAGGATTAAGTTCTTCTAGCAATCTAAAAGGTGCTGAGTTTGCAGGTTCAGAACCAATAAATATTGGGCTTGAAAAGCCTACAGTTGGTTCAGTTGGTTTTGGTAGCATGGGAAGTGGGAATCCTAATGAGTGTACTTTTGTATTTAGTAGCGGAGTGAATAAAAGTGTTGATTCAAGTCAAAATTCTTTCTTTGGTTCACATTTGGGGTTGTCTGAGCTTCCTGAAGAGATGAGGAAGATGAATTTGAATAGTGGGGATGGTTCTTTAAAGACGAGCAAAGCAGATAAATTTTTTGTATTTGGAAGCGACAAGAATTCCATTGGTTCCTTTGGCAGTGGTTTTGCAAATAAAGTACCAGAAGAGACGGAGCAATTGAATGTTGGAAGGGGGTCAGCAGAGCAAAGCATGAAGAATGAAAGTGCAGGACCTGCAGCAGGTGCTTATGTATTTGGAAGCACCAAAGAGAAAAATTCTGGTTTAAGTGCTGAAGATCCTAGGAAGGGTAAAGAAACAGCTCAAAAAGATGAGACTGGTGACAGTAATTCCTTTGTCTTTGGGACCGCTAAAAATGCTGCAACTTCCTTTGGAGGAAGTGCTGTTAACACAGTACATGATAATATGGAGAAGATGAAAATCGGAACTAATGCTGAGAGTTTATCTGGAAGGATTCCATTTGAATCCAATTTTCAGGCAGCAAAAGATGACCACAGATGGAACATGTGTTCTAATCCATTATTCCCTGCTCCTGGTTTCCAATCTCCTGGGCCAAGGTTCTCTTTTACAGGTAAGCCTGTAGGTCTAGAAACACCAAACATGGAATTCAAAACCCCGCAGCCAGAGGATGCTACTCGATTGACTAAAGAGACTTTGTTTAGTGGGACAGTGGCATTCAGTGCAAAAAAAGGTGATGCTAAAAGTACGAAGAGTAAAAAAAAGAAGGGTAAATTCCCATTTTCGCGAAGGTTTTCAACACAGAATGTTTCAGAGAGGAGTGGTCCCAACATAAATCCAGAAGATTCTACTTGTGATTACTCACCCATGGATTATTCTCCTTATCGTGAGGATGGAACTGCTGATCAGTATTCAAGAGAAACTTCTATAGCATCTGAAGATTCCAGTCATATTGTCTCTCGTGGTGCGTTATCTGAGCAGGAAGAAGTGCTAGTGTCAGCAGCTCAGAGGTTGAATGTCAATGAAGTAGACCTATGTCAAGGAGAAGTAGGTATTGATGATTCCAAAGATGATGTCAAGAAAAGTTCTAATGCTGAATCTTCTTTTGTAGACGAACAAACTAATAAATCTGTGAATAAGAACAACATTTTCAAACTTGAGAATATGGGCCTTGATAATAATTCAAGAACATCCCCCATGCAGTCTGATACTGATTTCTTTAGTTCAACCGGTGAGGGGCCAGCTAATGAAGTTAGAAATGAGTTTTCTTTTTCTTCTAGCTTAGAGGATCTTGGTCAATCCAACTTTGCATTCACTGCATCACCACGGGTTGACGGTCCATTATCAGCAGCGAAGCATAGTTATAGAAGAAAGCACAAGCTGAAACCTGGTCAAAGTGCCAGAGTTCCACTGGCTTCTTCCTTGCCAGATTTGATGCCACATATCAGCATTTCTGGTCTTCCAGTTTCAGGAGGACAACAAAATACTTCATCTATCTATAAAAATGATAATGAAAGCAAAACAGGAAAAAGTAAAGAAGAGGCCAGAGAAGAGTCCACGACTTCAGATGTTGCTAGAGCTGAAGTACAGGAAGCATGTGAGAAGTGGCGATTCAGGTCAGTCTTATATCTTTTGTTTGCTGCCTTGCTTATTACTGTGTGCTATAAGTTCTAGTCGTTCTTTATCTTGTTGTGTTTTTTGCAATTTAGAATTAACTATTATTCTATACACTCAACATTTGGATGCTTAATCACTCAATATGCATTAGGGGTAACCAAGCTTATGCAAAGGGGCTTCTTGGTAAAGCAGAGGATTATTATACCTGTGGAATAAATTCTGTCTCTCTGAAGGAAATTCCTAGTAGCTGCATTAGGCCGTTGACCCTCTGCTACAGCAATCGCGCAGCTACACGGATGTCTCTTGGGAAAATGCGAGAAGCATTGAGAGATTGTAAGATGGCCGTTTCAATTGACCCAAACTTTCTTAAAGCTCGAGTAAGAGTTGCAAAGTAAGTGCTGCTTGAATTCTTCCTCCTTTCAGGTCACCATAATAGCTTTAATAAGCTATGCTCATATATCTTGTTTTACACGTGAAATTGAATTGCTTGATCCTTGTAAGGAGCTTAATTTGATATGTTTTCCATGTAGTTGGAAATAAGTCTCAAGAGTCGTTGAAGGTCTCTATTCTAGACTTTCTAAGTACAGCAATTACAGCGTTTACATACCTGAATGAGAAAGATCCTTAGAAACTATCTAAAAAATGTTAAGTTAATCTTTTTTAACTAATTGAAAATGTTTAAATTAAAATAAATGGATAGCTTATAATCCTTGTCATGCAATGAATGTGGAGAACTGGCAACTTATTATAGACGCATGCTAGGTAACATACTATATAGGTCCTCATTTGACTTAAGGATTTATATTTCTTAAACGATTTCCAGAATTCAGTTTTGGAATAACACTGAAGCCTAAAGCTAAATGTTTTCTGAAAAGCAGAAAGGAGTCCCCAGATGAAGAAAAGATGTTGATTGTCAAAGAACTGAACTACTTGATCAGCAAAATTGACCAAAGCCGTGAACTTTAGAACTACTCTAGGTTTAGTGATTGTGAAGCAGCAATCTGAAGGTCTGATTGGGTGCCCTAACCTTCCAGGAATATTGTAGGGTTTGGAGACATTAACCTCATTTGAAATTTTTAAATGGAGTTTAAGTATTGTCAGATGCCTACAAAAGCTAAACTGAAGTACATAGGATTTTTTCCTAAAATTGTTGACATTTTTAGTTTTCATATTAAACTGCTACTTTTGTTGGGCCCTTCACCGCCAGTCAAGTTCTCTTCCCTTGGCCTTTGGGAAATTCCTGGATGCATGACGTTTTCCTTTGAGCTAACCTCACTTTGAACTCCTTCACGTTCTATCTCCAAACTTTTGGCATCTAATTATGATTTCTACTACTTTCTTAGAAAGCCTAGAGACCTCGAACCTACTCCTATGGCCTCATAGGCATCATCCCTATATATGGGACAAAACACTGTATCCTTGACCTTATACACGTCCTTCTAGTAAGGAGGATGGAGTCATAGACGTATAATTTCAAGGGTTTTAAAAAATGTGACCGTACAGTTCTCATAAACCAACTTGAATAGCCTAGGATTTGTAAAATCAAAGCTGAATCTCATCAAGGCAATGACACCCCAATCACTTTACAATTCTAAGTTTTTTTCTCTTCTTCATTATTGTTATTATATTATTTATTATTTTTATAATTTTGTTTTCTATTTCAGTTAGTATTCAAGTTCAAGAGCTATGATATGCACTAAAAGGTGCCTCTAGCCTTCTTTACATGATAACCATTCTCCCTAGTTGGACACTTGTTTGAACACTTACATTATGTCATGCCTTTTTCACATTACAAATATTAAGGTGGGTATACCCTTTAGGGGATAAAAATATACACATAAAATGCTTCGTGGTTATTACTCCTTTTATGTTCTTCCTCCCCCCCCCCCCCCCACCCCCACACCCCTGGCGCAAAAAAATTAAATAAAAAACACACACACACAAAGGGAAACAAGGTACAAGTGGTTATGCATAGACTAGAGAGCCAGACCTATGAAAGAGATAGGGGTAAGATGCTTATACATGAGAGTATGATTAGGTTAGCTACATGGAATATATGTACAATTACACGAAACCTGATAGAGTCGGTAGATATTTTGTTTAAAAGAAAGATTAAAATGATTTGTCTATACGAAACTAAGTGGGTAGGTGAAAAATCTAGAGAGATTGAGAATATTGAATATAAACTTTGGTATGTAGGGAATAAAAGAATAGAAATGGCGTGGGAATATTTGTAGATTAACATATTAAGCGATGATGTGAAGGTAAAAATAGTCGGAGGTAGAATAATACTAACAAAATTGTGTTAGGGGTGGAAGTACTTAATAATGTTAAACGCTTGTGTTTTATGCACCATAAAATATTAAAAAGGATTTTTTGTGTAACTTGCATAAATTTTTGTGAAGAACTCCAAGAGGAGAAAAGGTATATATAAGAGATCTTAATGGACATATAGGCAAAGATAATGGTGGGTACGAGGGAGGGAGGGACATAGAGGTTATGAATATGGAGAAATGAATAAAAAGAGATAAATTTTATATTTTGTGATGTCTTACGACCTTAAAATAACAAATATATATTTTGAAAAGAGAGATGAGCACTTGATAACCTTTAAAAGTGGATTGGCAATAGCTAAAATAGCCTTTTTTCCCCTTTACTATAAAAGTAGGTAGGTTACCATGCAAAGATTGTACAATCATGTTGGAAGATAGCATGGCCATATGCACAATTTGATTGTGTTAGATATTAGTATTAAGAAGTGGAGGAGAAGAACTACTATCAACAAGAGATTAAGAACAAACCCTAGAACTTAATAGGAGATAATTTATGGCATATTAAGGATAGGATGTTGAAAGTAGATATTTGGAATATAGTGGATATGCACTAAAAGCATGTTCAAAAAGGACATCTTGTTAAATACCATATTGTGACTAATTAATAATTTTATATTAAGTAGATTATTACTATTAGTAAGTTATTAATTAATGAACTAAGTAACTAATAAAAATTAATTAGTTCACATTAATAATGAGTACTAAATACTAAATTAGGAGTAATTAATTTTTTTATATTAATGAAAAATTATTATTAATAAAAGTATTAATTAGTTAATAAGAAATTAATGATTTCATAATAAGAAATATATATTATTAAAATATTTATATTTTACATTATTTATCGATATTGATTACTAATTTTTTATTTGAAATCAATTAAATAATAATTATTAATAAATTAGTAGATAAGTGAACCCTCACCAAATATAATTTTGGTAGCTTATAAGTAAAAAGGTACTTATAAGTAAAATAAATAACTTATACGTATGTTGCTGAACATGCTCTAAGAGGTAGGTTAAGAAATAAGTTTGGATATAATAATGATTAATTTACTGGAGGAGATAACCCTCAATAGAAAAGAGTGGAAGAGTAGGATTCATGTAGCCGACGTCTAAAGTTTTTAAAGGCTTTGTTTTGTGTGTAAATATCTTGCTTTTGGTGTATTTTGTATCTGCCTTTTGTCCCATGTCTGCCTAGAACGCGCTTTTAGTGTATGCGCATAATTTGTTGCTTAAGAGGTGCTCATGTTGAGGAGGAGGTTGTTATATTCTATGTTAAATTATAAGCACCCATAAAGGTGAAGCAGGAAGTTTAATCATTGAGAGATATACACACTCCAAATTCTTATTGGCTTCTCTTACATATAAGAAATATCACTGGAATGAACTATCAAACTGATCGACATTTGTTCTGTTAGTTCAGCTTTCACATTATTTATTGCCACAAGTTGCAATTGTCTATTCTACAAAAAGTCTTATCAGTTTATTCTTCATTTAGTTGTCATCTAGCTCTAGGAGAGATTGAAGACGCAATGAAGCATTTTAAGGAATGCCTGCAAGCGGAGAACATCAGCGATGATCAAAAATACTTGTCCGAGGCCTCTGACGGTCTACGAAAAGCTCAGGTATTGCATCCAATCACTCACTATGTCACAACATTTTTTTTCACAAGTATATTGATGTGCAATATCTTCAAATTTTGTTCATTGACAAGGCATCTTGATGGAAACTAGAAGGTGACATAGAAATAAAATTAGCAATTTTATTAGTTACAAATGACCAACATGTAGATTATGCTTATCAGAGTTTAATGAACAAGTTCCTGATGCCCAATTAATATTAATCTATTTTATGTTATTACAGTGGCAAGTTGTCTTTTGATAATGGAGAAGGATTTATGGTTTTAGTATCTTTAATATGTTCGTGAGGTTTTTACTTTCCTGCTACATAAGGAGAAAAATAGAATTGCGTTGAATTTTGGATGTTTCTAAAGTAAACATAGAGTAGTTGGATAACTGTCTGTGCTTGTTTGACCAATAAATTTAGAATGTGTGTAAATTAGAGGAATCATACTTGGGTTCAGACTTCAGTCTTCAACAGATTTTTGATAATTTATTGAATTGCTACATTGTATGAAATTATATTATTCGGGAATGTCATTCAAGTTTCAAGTAGGAAGATGAAATGATTTTGTTTATGCTAATAGAGTGTCTAGTGTCATGTTGGTCGTTAACCAGTGTGGACATCGACTGATCAAAAATTACTGTTTGGTACTTGTTGTAAGGGCACCATTGATTCTTTATTCCTTTGATTTATCCATTGATATGTGTGACACTTTTTCCTACCTGGAATTGGCAATACCAAGAGTGATACTTATTTCTAGGGATTGTGTTGGTGAAGCTGAAGAGGATGCTGTTCATGGAATCAAGGTAAGATGCTGAAAGGGTGTTGAAATACTGGAGCATTCGATACCATGAAATTTAAGCAAAAGTGCTATAAACTTGATGTACAATGAGCCATGCTCTATGGATTTGAGATTTGAGTACGTAAGAAGCAGCACCTCCAGAGAGATGAGGATATTCAAAACAAGAATATTGAAATTGAGCGGCCCCATGCTAAAGGCAAGAGAATAGTTAGGGTTTGTTGATAAATGTCATAAGCTTTGTAAATGTCAGGGCTTGGTAAATGAACAAGACAAATGCCCTGTTACTGTTAGTGTAACCACAATTCTCACTTTCTAGTCTAGACACAAGAGAGCTATACCCTGGCTAATCCTCAAGGAGGAAGTAGAAGATTTTGTAGGAAATAAGTCTGTCCAAGAAAAGTTAGATGTTGCGCCAGTTGTGAATAAGATCACCAAGAAATATTGCTAGAGATAGTTAGGACTTGTAAGCGGGACGACTGGTTCGCTACTTATTATGATGTACTCAGCTAAGGAGTGCAAACATAGGGATCGACAACATTAACAAAAAAGATATGTGATTGCTAACCTGACTAAGAACATCATTGTTAATTGTATGCGTATGTACAAATTGCCGCTCCTAACTTAGGAGAACATCCCCAGAAAACACGGCCATCTATCTGAAGTGAGATCTCATTGTGAGATCTACCATTCAGAGGCATAATTCTATCGTTTGATTATATTAATTTATGGTCGTCTGGATTTATACATCAAATTTACGTATTCCACGTAGTTATCAAGCGGGCTATGTCGGCGATGCTTATGGAGAGTAAATATCCCCCCTTTTAATCGAGAACATTGATGACCTGCATGATTTTGGACCCCTGATTAAGTGATTTTTGCTGTGGCTTTGAACAAACCTTTACTTATGTTTCTCTTAATTTATTTATACTTTGGCTTGCAGGAGTACATTTAAGCCTGAACTAAGTAATTGCAAACCGTTTGCATTACTATTCCTTCATTGCATATTTATAGCTATTCTCCTGAAACATAAAATGCTTTTAACTGGTACTATCAGGACAATTTGTGGCTATTCGGAAAATGTTAAATCCTTTCCAAAACTCCATCCTGCAACCAACAGTATCTACTCAATAACCGTCTTCTGTTTTATGCTCCTTCACATAATTTCTTGAACGTATGTATCAGAGAGTTCGATGAATCTATATTCTAACAAGTAGTATACCTGTTTGACAGCAAGTGGCTGATTTAACTGGCCAGTCTGCTGAACTGCTGTTGAGAAGAACATCCAATAATGCTGCTAAAGCATTAAATGTGATTGCCGAAGCACTTTCACTAAGTCCATACTCAGAACACTTGTTGGAAATGAAAGCAGAAGCTCTGTTAATGGTATGTGGTGTTGCTCTTTCTTGTCATAACACATCTGAGCGTTAACTGCTTCATGTCATTCTCACACATTTATTAGTTTTCAATATGAGCCACATAATTTTGCTCTTACCATTATTTTGTTACTCACTCTTGTTTTGGCATCTAACAGATGCGGAATTATGACGAAGTAATTAAGTTATATGGAAAGACGCTTGATTTGGTTGAACAAAACTCTGCCGTAACAGAAGTTGCTTCTGAATTGAAGAATGCAGATTCCTCTGAATTCATGAATTCACCTGCCATACTTTGGCGGTGGCATATGATTGCCAAGTCCTATTTTTATTTAGGGAAACTTGAAGAGGCTCTTGAGCTACTTCAGAAGCGTGAAAAATTGAAATCTGCCATAGACAAGTAATATTCTATTTTAACATTTGTCTATTCATCCATGCTCTGCAAAATTTTTTCGTGGTTGCTTTTAATTTATGAAGCTGGTCTTTTTTAGGAACAGGTCCTCAGACCCTTGTACGTCATTTGCTACCACCATACAGGAACTCTTACGGCTTAAAGTAAGTCTGCTCACCTCATTTTATGATAATTGCTCATTTTACTGGAAAGTAGTTTAAAATGTTTCCTCACTCTCTTCAATGTAACCCCTGTTTATTCATCTTCTCTTGTGTTTGCACCAAATTAAAATTCTCAATCTGTGGTATAGCCAAAGCTTTTTCCTGATCACTTCATTATCTTGCTTATGCAACTTCGGCTTACATCAAAGTTTTTCTGGAATTTTCTTAATCTTTCTTCACTGTCAGATTTTACTGGGTAATTCCTGGAATCCAGGCTATTCTTACCAACCTTGTTTTGGAATGGTTCAGTTTTTTGGATTCTGCGTTTTACCCATTAATATCATATGCATAAATATATGTTTCAAAATTTATGTTTTTCTTATTTATAGCTTATATCTTGTGGTTTCATATGATTCAGACTTCAATTTTGTTGCAGCTAAACCAACTATATTATGCAATAAATTTGAAACTGCTATATATGTTTCTTATTTATAGTTGTTTCATATGATTCAGACTTCAATTTTGTTGCAGCTAAACCAATTTTTCATGGTCACAATCACACTTATATAACATGTTTAACCACATGGGAAAGAACATGTTTTACCATCTTTAGAATTTAGGAACATGCAAGATGTTCTTCTACATGATAATTATGTCAATTTCTGTAGTTGCCACCACTGCAGACAGTTGTCTCCTGGATATGAACCATCCAAACGTGAAACTATTTTAGATAGATTTAACCTTTCTAGAGGACACATATTACTGTTGTGGATGATCATCATTCCACTGTATTAGAAATCTCAAGTTCTTATGGTCCTAAGTGATGAATTCACTCAATATAAAAAGTAATGAGGTCCCTGATGCACCACTATGCTCCATTGCGACAATGGTATCCAGCTAAATTACTAGCATAAGGGAAAATTTCCTTTAGTCAAATACCAGTAACTATAAGAACTTTCCTTCTGTCGTTCAAGCAACAAACACAGCCTCTGGCATGAACGTGTACTAGGATCTGAAAACGTCTGTTTTGGCCTAAAACATACCCTATAACAACGGTATGCTAGCTTAAGAAATGGGATTATATATCCCCTGTGCTTAGCAGCCTCAAATTTAGCAGTATATTCATTGATTTACTTTCAGATCTGAAATTCTAGATAGCAAACGAAGATACAATAAAGTCCAAATAAAAGCCAATAAGATTTGATCCCTAACCCCTTTTCTCCTTTAATTCTCATGACTGTGGTGGTGGATTGACAGGTGTGTTGCTGATGCCAACAATGCAAAATATTTGTGAGCTAGCACCCTCTTTTTTATCCTTTCATCTCCTGTGATTAATAATTATTTTAATTTTTCTTTCGTTGGGAAGCAGGTCATGCACCCACGAGAGACAGTGCTTTCTGCAATACTATGAGTCTATGACACATCTGCATCTATAGAACTTACATATCCCGCTTCCATGTCCTTTTGGGAACAATAGTTATGCATGTGTAGCTTAAACGCTTCTATCATAAAGCTGGTGCATGAGATAGGCGTTATTCTACTTAGAAAAGCTGATTATGTGCCGACGTGGACATGCTGTGCAGAGCTGCATGCCTTACACAGTCTAAAATTAAAAAATAGTGCACCTTACAAAAGGTCTATTTTGTTCAACCAGAGCATAAGGCTAACCATTTTAAGTTACCCTACTGATTTATTATCTTTAACTGTATTATCACTAGCGTATTAGGTTAATGTGGTTCTTACTTTCTTAAAATATTTAAAAACCTTTTTCAGAATGTTCCTCTAATCGCATTCAGAGGCAGTTGAGTACTACAGTTCTGCCTTAGCATGCAATGCAGAATCACGTCCGTTCACAGCAGTATGTTTTTGTAATCGTGCTGCAGCATATCAAGCTCTAGGACAAATTGCAGATGCTATTGCAGATTGCAGTCTTGCAATAGCTCTTGATCCTAGTTATCCGAAGGTTGGTCATATGTTGGCTGATGTACGAATACCTTTTTGTTTTTATTTGGATGTTTGAATATTCGCTTTTGACACTATCATGCTATCTAGAATATTATTATTATTATTTAATGTTTTATGTTCTCTTAGTGGATTGGAGCCCCGTTGAATTATTGTGTAAAAAGTCATCTTATGTGATCCTAGGTTTCTGACTTTTGACTTCTAATTTATTTTTTTAAGTTACCTATTCTTGTTGCCACACTAGTTTCTTCCAGATAAGGTAGGCAAATGCTATCTTAACTTTGTTTATATTTTTTGAGTATATATTGGAGAATGGCCACTGATTTCTTGAGTGCAAAGTACTCACTTGATCTTATAGGTTTCTGACTTTTGCAGTTTTACTTGTGATTTTTTATATTTTTTATATATTTTTTTTGATATCTGTTTAAATGTTTCTATTCTTGTCTCTTCTAGATTAGGTGGGCATGGCCTTGTATTGCACTTTATATGGGTATCGTTTAACTTGTTGGTACTTGGTAGTATTACATGTTTAACTAAGCATTTTATCTTTATTTAATTGGGATAGTTCTAAATTTAAGAAATTTGCAAATGGAAATGTAAAAGAATAACTGATACATCTAAAAGTGACTGTTACAATCAAGTAACAAAGGACTAAAAGGATATACCGTTCTTTTGTGTGTTGATCATATTTCTCTGCCATGCTGTGGGTATTGTCACTCAATTGAGTGATCTTGTCTTTTAACCATCATAACTTCTTACAGGCAATTTCTAGAAGGGCCACGTTGCATGAGCTGATCAGGGATTATGGGCAGGCAGCTAGTGATCTAAATAGGTTAATCTCTCTTCTTCAGAAACAGATGGAGAAGAAAGATAATCACTCTGGAGGAGTGGGAAAGTCTGCTGCTGATGGCACTGATTTAAAACGGGCTCGGGCACGGCTTGTGACAGTGGAAGAGGAAGCTAGAAAAGGAATCTCATTGAACATGTATATGATATTGTAAGTCATGGATTCATTTTGCTTTCTATAGTAATATGCATTTCATATTTGTGCATTATTATGTAAGTTGCTAGTGTTTCGGTTGATCATCTGAAAACATTATTTTATTGTATTTCCATGAAGCTGCAGTTTATATACTACCACCTGCCTCTGTTAAGAAAAAATCACAGGAACTAAGATTTTGTTCTTTGTTTTATGAAATTAATGTCAAAGCTAAGACGAGAAATGATTACTCAGAAAACCAACTTCCAGCAATTATGCTGGAGAGGTGTACCACAGATTTATTTACTTAATAAGACTTAGTTTTAGAAAAGAAATGAGATCTACACATGGTTTCCAGTGATGTTACACCTTATGATGGTGTCGTGTAAGAGACTATTTAGAAATAAACGTCATAGTTTTTATGGAGACATATAAACAGAGTAGTAATCAGTGGCGAGAACAACTTGAGGAGAGAGATCCCTGTTCCCACTGCGAAATTGGAGTATTATTACACTGAATAGGAATAACTGCTGAACAAGTATTAGGTATCCTTGGGATAACCATGAAATGGTATAGAACTTTATAAGAGGGCTATATGATGAGCTATGCTTTCTCGTTGAGATGTTGGGTAATTAAAGAAACAACGTGTAGAAAAATGAGTGCAACTGAAATGAAAATTTGAAGGAACATTCTGAAATAAATGAGTGCAGCTGAACTGAGAATATTTGTATGTGTTTGCAATAACATGCTAGATAATAGAAGTTAAACGAGTGCAAAGATTTAATTCATGCTGTTTCTGTCTCTTACTGGTGTCTCTTTCCGGCTGAAATGTGGTGTTGAAATATTTTTTTCATTTTTTTTTGAGTTTTGATGGAATGTGGTTGGGAGTTTTATGAATGTACCAAAATTAATTCTTTTTGTATTTTACATTTTTCGAAACACTAGCTGTAGTTGATTTTTTTTTTTCAGTAGAGGAGGAACCTACTCTTGCATGTTACCCATGTACTTGTTAGGATTATGTTTTTCCCCCAGTTCTGGCTCTATTTTTACTCAGCACTCTACAGTCTTAGTTTCTTTCTTTCAAACTGCCTTGAATATAACTTCTTTCAATTAATAACTTCCTTTCAATTGGCTTATATTGTCTAGTCTCTTCCTTTTGTAGGGGAATTGAATCATCAAGCTCTGCAGCTGATATAAAGAAGGCTTACCGCAAAGCCGCTCTAAGACACCATCCTGACAAGGTTTGTTTGCACTAGTTATGTTATTCAAATTGTGTTCATGTTTGAGTTTTGTAACAAACTTGTTGCTGCAGGCTGGTCAGTCCTTGGTCAGAAATGAAAACGTTGACGATGGACTGTGGAGAGAAGTAGCTGCAGAGGTGCATGCAGATGCTGATCGGTTGTTTAAAATGATAGGAGAGGCATACACTGTATTGTCAGATCCCACAAAGGTACATATTGGCAAATCTAGTTTACAGTTAGTGGTTGAAATGAACCAAATAATTAATAAACAGTTCGGTTATTATTCAGCCATATTCGATTTGGTAGTTCATTTAATAATTAATGGATATTTTTTTAGTATTCGGTTCGTAAATGAGTAGAATTTAACCAAAGGTGTATTTGGTTCGTTTGATTATTGAATATTCATTTATGTTTTACTACTATTATATTACTATATTGTATTATCTTTTATGTGTGCATAATATCATAAATATTGTTTAAGTATTTTCTTACTTATTTTTTACTTAATTGTTATTATGATATTTCATCATAGACATGATATGGGGCTTTTCAATGCGTATTATGTTTTTAGGGTTCATGTCGAATATATCGGGGGACATGTCGGATATGTCGGGCGGATATATCGGGAAACATGTCGGCTATGTCGACTAATTTTTTTCAGTTTAAAAAATTGGCTGGTTTTTTGGGTTATGTTTGTCTAATCAGGTTTGTGCTTAAATTCCTAATTATCTTAATGTTGCTTCTAAAGATAAAACACGATCAATTAGGGGAAATGGAGAAAAAGACCAAAGTCATTTTCGTCGCTTCTCTTCTCTTTCTTCTTCGACATCTCATCGGTCTCTTCTCCGAGCTGTTTCTTCCACATCAATATTGAGTGATCTTCTCTCTTCTTAAATACCAACATCAGACTCCTCTTTTCTCACCTTTTTCCTATAGCATCAACCCTAAGCATCATAAATTATTTACCTTTTTATATAGCTAGACAAGAAAATTTATTAAGCATATTTAGATTTCATTTATGATATTTATATTACACATATGCACACCATCCGATATGACAATCCGATATTTTTTTCATGTCCCCCGACATATCCCTGATTTTCGCTATTCGACATGAATCTTAGTCGTCCGACATGAACCCGACATCTGACATTTAAAACCTTATCGTACGGTTCCACTCGAAACATTTGTGAGTCGATTCCTTCTAATATATGAATTGGTTCACCAAAATTGACATATCGTTTACATGTGGGGTGCAAAGTCCCTTTACGTGCACATGCGAAAGTCCCTTTACGTGCACATGCGCAAGACGCGATGCAGTGTTGTGCAATCAAGTGCAGTGAGGAGCATAATAGAATATGACTCTATTGATAACTAAATACTTATGTCCATAAAACGTGAAATGAAATCATGATCCTAACATGATCCATGTGGGGAAAAACATATCAAAGAAATGAACTCTATAGGAAAGAAATATTTAAGTATTTCGTATAAAAGAATTTTGAAATGCATAATTAGTTTTCAAGCTTCTAGTTTTCTACTATGTACTTAAAAATTTTTCTACTATGTACTTAAAAAACCTTTATCGATTTTAAAAAAGTATTATATTGTGTATCTTAAAAAATTTTACAGTGTATAATTAACCGAACTTGTGTATCGAAGTAAGCTACCCCCAGTGAATTCAAATTTTCTAAGTGACAAATTGTGTACCCGAATTCGTACCATGACCCTATACGTATCGTGTACTGTGTAACTATGTATTTCACTATAAAAGTATTATATTGTGCATTTATAAATTGTTAATATTATAATATAAATATTATTTTGTAATATTATATTAAAAATATTTATAATATTATATTAATAATGTATAAAGTAGTGAAATATCATAATAACAATTAAGTAAAAAGCTAAAGAAAATAAGTAATACTTCAAACATGGGTTTGATCTCAAGACCTCAAGCTCAAGAATCTTATGACTCACCAAGTGTGCTAATAAGGTATTCTTGAACATTTAACGAATATTCGGGTAATTAATGAATCGAATTTGAACACTCATTTCTTATTCGACACAAATTTGAAGTTGAATTTGAATTTGAATTCGTGAAAACTACCTCTACCAATTCAAATACCATGGTACTCGATTCGATTCGATTCCACCCCTATGAGAGTAAAGGATTTTTTTGTACTCTTGGCTTTAATTTAGTTATCAAAAAATCTGTTTAAATAGATCTAAAAAATACAATCAAATTGCAGAGATATGTTTTGTAGTTAGTGGATTGTAACACGTATCTGGGCCATAAAAAAAGTGAAAGCATGCTTCCAGTTTATGTTATCAAATGCAATGAAATGTAAAGATGTAAGGCAATGAAGTGTGAAGGATTCCTATCAAAAAAAAGTTTGAAGGATCCTAGAAAGAATATTGTTGTCAAGTTTTAGCTTTTTTTCATATTTATTATTTATCTTGCTAAAACACATGTATATTGTTAAAAGACATGCCGTGGATGCCTGTGTCAGGATCCTATTTCTTATGTTTACTCTTGGACTTTGTTTGGGTGGAACAATAAAGGGAGATTATGGACTTCTGTGAAGGCTGTAAGATGAGAGCTCATGTCCTATCAAGAGTAAGATAATTCCATCCAGAAGGTATAACACTTAAGTTCTCATGTAGATATGGGGGTTATTTCCAGTAAATATTTTCAAGAAACGACACTCCTTCCAATGTGAACCTTTTGAAATGGGTGGATCATTACTTAAATCCAATGGCATATCTCATCTTCCCATGTAAAAAGAAATGGCTAAAAAATGAATTTAAAGATCTTTGCAGCTTCAACTTGTTGCTATCAGTAATAGAGAGAAAAGAAGTTGTTTGTCAAAGATTTTACGTTTGGTGTCAAGCTGGAAATAACCTGCAAGTCTTGTGGTTGTCAACCAAGAGCAAGTGAGCCAGCAATCAAACTTAGTTCCTGGATGGTTACCAGTTGGCCTGCTTTTTCTATCATTGTATGTTAGGCTGATAAGAACAAGATAATACCACCAGATTGGGCTGGTGTCAGACGAAGCGGTAGATGATTAATTATTGCTATGGGGAATTATGTTCATATCTAAGAGGCTGACTAATCCAAAATGGAATGGTGTCAGTCCCAGTCATCCCTTTCCTTTGTTAATTGAGATGTATATGATTGACCAAAGTGTAGATGTTTGTCATTCAAGGAATGACATCTTTGAGTGGATCCTTTGAGTTCCCTATTATAACAAGTTCATTACTGAAGCATTTTGTAGATAATCATGCAAATTAACCGAGGTCTACTGACCTGTTGATCACTTTGAATTCCAAAGTTAGTCGTTACATCCTAAATATTCCTAAAACATAACCATATTTAATTCTAGTATGGGCTATGTGAGGCTGCTCCAGTTTTACTGCTAGTGTTGGACTGAGTATTTTGCAATACTTCCATATCAATTGTAATGGCATCCATTCAATTGTTATGCAAATTTGAAGTTTTTCTTTTTTTGCCTAATTGATTGTTGTGGAGGTTGCAATACTGTGTTGGCTGCCTTTCATGACCATAATTTGTCCAACCTAGGGTCATTACCACTCTCATATATGATACTGGGACCAGGTTGATACCAGCCCAAGGTTATCATCGCATAGCTAAAGTATAGCTTTATACTTGGTTGCTTTATAAATTGATTAAGGTTAATGGGATGAGGCTAAAGTGGCTAACGTGGGCTATTAGGTTACATATAGAATTATGGCTGTTCAGGTGAAAAGTGGCAATCCTAGGGTCGTTGGCGTATTTTGGATTATAAGAGGTTTTATACTCTGTTGAGATTTGATATTCGTTGGTAAGGTAGAAAATATGTCAGTTTCTACAATGATTTTGATTGGGCTGCAGTTCAAATTGAACCTTAAACTTTCTTTAGCAAAAACATCGGAAAGCCACATAAAACGGGAGTTATAAAAAGGGTGTTTCAGCTAGCCAATCAATTTTGACAAGGTATGTGAATTATTTGGAAGTGGTATCGCATAGTCACTTTCAGGTGTTCGACTCTTTCCTCAACTTCCCCAGTTGAGGCAATTTGTTTTTTTTCCCGTCTTGGTTGGGTGTCAACTTGAAAAGGACCCGTACTTGTCAAGTGTATGTTAATGTTTTAGCAGAAGGCCCGTACTAGTTCATATTTGTACTGATATAGATTGATGGTTATTAACCGGATGTAAATGCCAAGCCCTTTCTGGATTTTTCTTAACATTCTATTCATGCTCCACAGGAAATGTTAATGTTTGGTGAAACTGCATATTCCATTTTTATTGGGCATAATTCATGTAGAGTTTAAAGCACATAAAATACTAGATACGTAGACTTACTTCACAGTTGGAATTAGTACATAATAGAAATTTTTATAGAAAAGGAGTCTGAAAAATTTTTGGTAAAACATCAAGGGTTGCTGGATCATTCTCAAAGGGAAATAGAGTATGTTGTAAGAAGTTAATTGGTCAATTAGGTTTCAGGAGTCAAAAACTCATGAATTTTAAGCATTGCTGAAAAATAACCTGTTATGTAATTCGTTATTTGCATTATGTAGCGTAACATACCTTAAATGTTACGTAACCTTTTGAAATAACTCAGGCACATGATAGTTCTTTTTTCTTACTTTTTCTTTTTCTTTTCTTCTTTTTTTTTTGACTCAATGAAATGTGACAATTCTATGTGATTACATATAACACGTGTTATTTAACTATAACTTATGTTCTTTGAATACAACATGCTTTATTTGAATATAACCTACGTTATTTTAATATAATTTATTGTAGAGACATGAGAGTATTTCCTTTCTTAAAACTTGAAGTAATTATGTAATTACTTTGCGGTTTTGAGATCCTTCATTGCTTACTTTGGTGAGATCATTATTTGTTTGTGAAATTATGAATGATGCGTAAATTTGTGATTATATAATTGAATATTCTATTGTGATACTTGTTAGTAAATCCGTATAGCTTGTATTAAATTAAAGAACTTTTATCCTTTTTTTTTTGTATTTTGCACTTTTTTTTCTTATTCTTAAAACATGAACATCTTTTATATTTGAAAATTTAAACAATAAGAAAATACATAAGTTACGCTATGCATTGTGCTTTAAGCTATCGAGAGGCGTTAAAGTTATAGTTTATCATAATATTTTTCAACACTGCTTTGAGAGTGTTTTTTTTCTCTTTTTTTTTTTGAACTTGAAATATATGTGCTTTTGGATTGGTTAGTAAGCATTATGACGTATTTCTGTTGAGAAATTGTGATAATATATTTGATACTTGAGATGCTTTATTTGAGAAGTGTGATGATTTTATTTATTAAAGTCATTGTGAATACTTTTATTTATTAAATATTTAAATCAATAATAAGACACATCCTACCTTATGCATTACACTTATTTTGTGTTTTCTGTGTTTAAGCGTAACAGGAGGTGGAGCATTACTTTTTGCTTTGTCGTTTTTTTCAACTTTGATTTTAAGATGGCAATATGGAGCTGCAAAACTATGAAACCTAGTTTAGGCTGAAGAAGTTTTTGCAGATTCTTGTTATAGGAATCCAGATAATTTGCTCTAGTTTCAACCAATATAACAGCTAATAGTAGATTGGCATCTTGTCTACACCCCTCCTACCAATTTATTTTTTTCTAGTTCCGGTGACTTTTTGGTTTTTTTCCTGAACCAAATGTGCAATTAGACTGAAAACATCGCCACCAATGAAAAAAGCTGCAAAACTTTATGTGATGCTATTAGTGCTATCTTATATTCATGTGGAAAGTGTCAGAAGATTATTTGGCATATTTATATAAGGATAAAAGGTGATTACGCGATATTACCTCCAAATAAAGTGAAGAGAGAGCTCGGAAGGTCAAAAACTGCTAGATGAATGATGTTTCACGGCTTTTCTTTTTCATTGCCGGCAAAGTTGTGGGGTCTAGTAGCAAATATAGCTAAAAAAGTAGCAACATGTTGCAGGAGCTATAAAGATACCAACTGCTATGAGGGGTGAAAAAAAAAACCAATCTAGTAATTTAACATATAACGTAGAGAAACCCCTATGAAATGTACTTCAAGCAATCTTTTACAGCAATCGTGGCAATTTTGTTGGTTACCTTGTTGTGATTTAAGTCTCAAGCGTGTAGCGTACACTGTACAGCACTTCATCATGTTGTTCTTGTTGAACAGTTGGGGCGGGTGCAGCTCAGCTATTCCTGTTCATTACATTTTCAAAAAAGAACTTATTTTACAAGTATATGACTTCTTATCATATCACATTTATATAACTTGTAGCTTCTTTGCAGCGTTTGCAGTACGATGACGAAGAGGAGCTAAGGACTTGCCCAACAATGAGTTATAGTACTCGAAATACACCTAAAACCTCGTCAGATAGTTACGCCAACCATTATGAGAGAAGCTATACCCGGCGCCAATGGCGCACGCAAGGAAGTTCATACCAGAGATGGTGAGTTTAGCAAGCAAACTTATGTGATTTAGAATATTCAGTTTCTGGATCGAGAAGCTGATTTTGGAAGTAAAAGGTATATTGAGCTCTCTCTTAGCCGGAGCTTGGTTCCTATGGATTCATCAAAGTTTATCATGTTGACTGTGGAGGAGAGCCACAGTATTGGCTCTGGTGTCATTAAGTTATCTGAAGGGATATTTTAAACTATACCTCAGCATTGCAGAACGTTAAGGTATCTGAAGGGATATTTGAAACTAAACCTCAACATTGCAGAACGAACAATGATGTAGATTTGTGCTGTGAAGGCATTCCGAGGGAGAGCTTGTTCGGTCATATTCTTTCATTCTATTGAAGTTACAGAGAAAGGATCGCAGGTGGTTTTCTTATAGCTGTTATAGGAAGAAAGAAGCATGGAAATAAAACAGGACGCTGGTGTTTGTCTATGCTTCTTCTTTCCTTTAGTTTTGTTTGTGATTGTTTTGATCGTTTTGTAAAGTGGTGCCTGTTTGAAGCGGAGTTATGTAAAATGTATGAGCATTTGTTTGTTTAATGGGAAGTTTTGCTCCAAATATTTGTTTCTATGTTTCAGTACCTGCGTTTTGCTGTTGACCGTGTTGTGTTCTGGATCAGATAGTATTGTTTGTGTGTGTGTGTATATATATATAGTATATCGATCAGATAGTATTCGTTTGTGTACTCATATTATATATAATATATTATATTATATATATATATATAATATTATATGAGAGGAGAGAGAGCACGAGAGAATGCAGTAATGTTCATAGCAATGAAATTTATATATATATATATATATATATATATATTATATATATATATAGAGAGAGAGAGAGAGAATGAGAGACGAGAGAGAGAGAGAGAGAGAGAGAGAGAAATGAATATGTTTCTAGTAACAATACAAATTTTCGTGCGCTTGGCTACTAAGGTGGACAATCTCATCGCACTCATCAATGGAGGATAATATTCACATAGGTTGAGGAGTGTCACGGGGTAATGTAACTATTTGAAGAGTGGGGAGATTATGTCAACCTTATTATCAAGTAATATAAACTTTTTGTCTGGTACAACATACACTTTTTCTCATATATATTATATATAATATTATATATATATATATATAATTATATATATATATATATTATTATATTTATATATATATATACTGAAATATGGGTTTGTTTGGTACTCGACGCAATAATTTTGTGCTTGGTAGCGAGGTGACACACCCCCACCATCATTCAAAATGGAGAACCAATGCCACATTGGTTGAGGAGTCGGCATGGGAAGATATGTAATCATTGTGAATGAAGTGACAGGAAATTATAATACTCAATACGCAAGCATATATTTTTTTGGTGTTTTGTACGCGAGAAAGTATACCCATTTCTCTTCTTTCTCTCTCTCTCTCTTATATATATATAGTATTTATATATATATATATATATATATTATATATATTAATTATATATATAATATATATGACTTAATGGTTATCCTTGTCATAGAGGGGATTTCCTCTGACGCCTCTAAAATCACATGATTGAGCTTACATTGTGAATGATCACTCCGGTTGAACTTGATCTACTATCTAAACCCAACACAAGTTTGGGGGTGGAAATCGTCGTGCGTTTGACCTCCATCGAGCCATGTGAAAAGTTTGATTCATTCAAAAGCCGTTTCAATTAATACGAAGTTGGTAATGTCAAACGACGACGGGTTCACCCAAACTTGATGGTGTTGGGGTTTTTAGAATATGTATGAATTAAGTTCAACGAGCGGATATCCAATCAATGTCGCTCAATTCATGTGATTTTACGAGGCGTCAAGGACGTGAAATGCCCTCCTATGAGCAAAGATACCTTATTATCTTCTCTCCTGTCTCTCTCTCTATATATTATATTTATATATTATATATATGAGAATGGAGAACTTGGTAGCAAAAGTTGCTTCAAACACTTTGGTTAGTGATGTCTATAATCTTTGACCCTACATCTACATTGGAGTTTGGATGAGGGCTGGTTGAGGCTCTATCTTTCGAGTGTTGTTAGGGGTCAAGATTAGAGCCTACATCACTATTATTTGTTTTTTTTAAAGCGGGCAAAACCCCCCCCCTTTGGTAGGCCGATGTGTTTCCATATTTCCTATATATATTATAATATAATATATATATATAGTATATATATATATTTATATATATATATATATATAATATATATATATATGAATATATATTATTTATATATTATTATAGGAATAGTGATATCTGCGGTGACTCCGTAGGCTGTCATCTGAGGATGCGGGATCTGGGCGGTTTATTATAAACCCAATAAAGAGATCTGAGCCCTTCGTTGAAAATCCCATCCCCCAAAATCCCTACCCTTCTCTCTTCTTTCCCGCTCAGATCGCGCCATCACCGACCCCCTCCTCCTCACCACCGCCCGAAAGCGCCGCCGCCCAAGCTCGGCCAATCCCTCGACGTCCCCGTTCAGCGTCGCCGCCGTCCCCTTGCCCTAGCCATCACCTCCCCTCCTCCTCTCCAGCTCCCGAGATCGCCGCCGCTGAGCGTCGCCGCCGGGTCAGCGCCGTCTACTCCTCCTCGCCATCGAACTCACCCCTCGTCATCAGCCACGCCTCCGATGGCATTTGAGCTCAGCCCTCAGGTTCATCGCCGCCTCCGGAGCTCGACCAAGCCCTCGACGTCTGCCCTCATGGCTTCGAACAAATTGAAAGAGTCGACGTCTTCGAATTCTTCAAAATCAAAGCCTACCTCTTCTAAATGCAATAATCCTCCAACTTCGTAAGTAATTTGCCATGATATATTTAATTTTTAACTCTTTCTGAATTATAATTTTTGTTGTAAGCCATGATGTATAATGTTTGTGTTAATAAACTTGTTAATATGCGTCTTAATTTGCCCAAATATATTTAATTTTTAACTCTTTCTGAATTATAATTTTCTTGTAGGGCTAAGATAACACACTTGAGAATTCCGGCCAATTTGTGTTATTTTCGAGATTTAATTGATAAGCGAATAAAATTAGATGAAAGACACCTAAAAGCCCTACAGACGACACCTTTTCACAGCTTTCTCAATATACCCACATCCTTGAGCAATGAGCAAATAGCAATTGATTGCTTGATTCAAAATTTTAATCCTGATAAATGCTCATTCATGATTGGGAATAAAAATTGTGTGTTCGGTATAGATGATATTCACCGAATTACCGGATTGCCAAAGGAGGGAATTCCGATAAAAATGAGTGGGGCAGCGGCTAATACAATCTACACCTATTTTGTAAAGAATTATAAGAAAGCCGATGAGGAAAAGAAGGCGGTGATTTCGGGGAAGCGCGATAGAATGGCCGAGATGATTGTAGATATGATTAATGAAGACCCTATAATATGTGTGAAACTTATTGTGGCTTTCATTATCGGCTTCATATTATGCCCGCGGACATGTAAGACATGTCCCTTGTGGGCGTTTAGATATGCGGAGCAGTTATCAACTTTGCATAAATATAATTGGTGCCATGCGGTGTTCACTCTTCTTTGCAAAGAGATGAGTAAATCAAAGAAGTCTCTTAGTATGCGGGAATTAGGTCAGCGCTCAAATGCCGGGTACATGGGTGGTTTTTCCTCCGTTTTACTGGTGAGTTACATGAACATTATTTTGTATATCTTCCCGTATTGATATTGATTATTGTTTATGCACATGCTAATGTGTAGTTTCTTTTTTGTAGGTTTGGTTTTATGAAAAAGTAGGGGAATTAGAGTACACTTCAGATATTGAAAGGTTACCGCCGCTCTTTTGTGTGAAGAGTACTGGAAAGTGGAGGAGGACTACTATGAACAAATTATATAGAGTCCCGAAGTTGGTTACGGATAATGGCCAAGAGAATACTCCTCTTATTCATACGGCATCGCCAATAGTATTTGTACATATCGTTGCTCTAATAGTTCATTATTTTATGTCCCTTTTGTTAGTATCTATGTTTGCAACTATAGTATACGTACTAATACTAGCTTTTTTTTGTCAAATAGGAATCAAGGAAAGCTGAATTAATTTTCTTAATTGCGGAGAAGACGTACGAGTTGAATGAGCTCACTACAGAATTACGAGAATTAGAAGAGCGTAGTGCTAGATGCCAAAAAAGAAACCAAGGAGAAAGAGGATGACGGAAATGTAACTGAAGAAAAAAAAATCAAAGAGGATATGGAAGCTAAGGAATATGAGAATTTGGAAGGAACTGGGGAAGCCGATTTATGTGATGACTTTGTGATGAGCGCAAGAGACGTGAGAATTTTAGAAGATGCTCGGTGAGTTTAGTTTTTTAAATTTTCTTGCAATTTTAATTTTTATATTTTCCATATAATTCTTGTGTAACTCTTTGTTAATTATATGCCTTCTCGACTCTATAGAGATGTTTCTCAAAAAGATGAAGGTGGTAATGAGAATAACAGAGAAACGCCATCTATCAAACGGGCTGTCGGAAAGAGGGAGAGGAAGGATGGACCCTCTGTTACTTCACCTTATATGCCTCTAGATCAACCAAAGGAAGGCACAAAGAAGAGACGTGTCATCCAGATATTGGATAGTCCTGAGGGGGAAAAAAGTGCAAAAATCAAGAAGGCTTCATACCTACATCTAGAGACTATCCAGGTAAGGCACTGGCGTTTGATTATGAGAACAATTTAATTGAAGACTTTCTACAATCGAGAATGAACAGGTAACTGTTACTGACGTATTCTAATAATAATCTTCGAATTTACTTAATCCTAGTAGCAATTTTCTCACAATATACTTGCATATAGTGATACGTACATTTGGAAGTGTGCCGAAGCAAGCGTATCTCGCTTAGATGCTTATATACTATTAACGGGTGGTGAACTCAGTGACGATGTAGGTTCTGAACAATTGTGTTATTGTTTGTTTGATGTTGTATATAAAATAATTTATATTAACTATTTTATTCATTCATGGTAAATTTTGTAGGTGATCGATGCATTTGTTATTCGGCTTTGTAACAAGATTGAAACAACTAATAGTTATGATCGAAAGATACATGTCACAAGACCTTGGCTTGTAGTAAGTATATCCTTGTTTTTTTCACTAATTGGTGGATATTATTATTATGTTATCCCACAATGTTGACATTATTGCATCTTTTAGCAAGCATTTCTAGAAGGAAATCTTGAAATGGTGGCAAAACGAATGAAGGAAAATGTTTGTCAGCAGAAGTTCTTGGAGTGTGAAAGAATTCTGATCCCGATTGTCAGCTCCGGACATTGGCACCTGGTAGAGTTAGTGAGAGAGGAGACAAAATTCTATCACTACTCCTCAATCAACTCCCCCATTTATACCGCCGATGCTGTGAAATTTAGAAATAAGTTTATGAGTTTCATTCAGAGTAATTGGGGATTGGGAAAATTGGAGCATCATGGTCTTGTGTCAGTTGCCGTGCCACAACAAGGACCGTAAGTGTTTAATGCATTTCTAATTTAATTGTTCATTTTTTTTGTTCATAGTTATTTTCAATATTGTAATATTTTTCCCCTAAATGCAGAACGTTAGATTGCGGGATCTTC